GGTCTCTGACGAAAAATTTGGAAAACCAGCTACGAAGGATACAAATATCCCTCGAGCGTCGAATGGTCGGGATAACCTTGCATCAACAACGGCTCAACAGGCTGCACAACGAACACACACGTTCGTTGTCTAAAGTTCGCGATATCATTCTGCACATCGACAAAGCAAAACACACCTTTGCTGGACATCTGATAAGGCGCAATGACGGTCGTTGGAGTACAACAAGTGTGTGCTGGGAACCTCGTGAGAAGAAAGGCCTCGTGGCCGACCTCCTCTACGATAGCAAGACTCTCTTGCTCACAGAAACAATATCTACGATTCTAATTCAGTTAAGATATCAGTCCACTGGACAACGTTGGCTCAAGATAGAAAATCGTGGAAAAGAAGTTGGGACCCGCGCACGAGCAATCGCAGCTGACAACGGGTCGCCAAGTAATCCAAGTAAGTAAGTAATATATATATATATATATATATATTAGGTTGGAAGGAAAGTCCTGCGACACAATGAAGGTCTTCTTCAAATCATTTTTGAAATATTCCAGGCCAATCAATTTTCGGAAATATATTTACCAAAGAGGTCATCAACCTTCTATTGTCCTTTGAGTAAATCACTGATGCCTTTTATCCAGGAGTGAGGAAGCTGTGACTCAAAGAAGTAATTGACTGCCGTTTTCAGATCAGATTAAGTTACGAATTTTTTTTCACAACGGGATGCTCAAGAAGGCGGAGCGCATGGTAGGTAAAAGGGGCAACACTTGGGGAGTACGACTGTTGAACAACCTGGAACCAAACGGAATCGTAAAACTTTTGACGCGTGTTCGAAGAGAAATTTTGACGTGCGTTGACCCTCTGTAGAGACCTGAATTACGGTTTTGATCGTCCTTCTCTAACCCCGCTGGCTGCAATCCGAATCCAATAAGCGGAAGTCAACACTTACTGGCTAAAACTGTAGAAATTAAGGAAAATGTTCGAGATTTCGGCCGCCACAACCAGTGCAAAATCAACACCTACGAACTATGTTTGTGACATCATGATAGATCAGTGCACATCCCAGAAAGCAACAGAAATTGGTTATCGTTTTCCTTTCCTTTCGTAGTTCAGTCCAACATTGCAAAATCGGGTGCGCCACTGTGTCATTGAACATGTGAAGAATCCAAGTTTAATAATCCTCGAAATCCTGGCATGGACTAGGACTATTTTCTTGAAATATAAAGCAGAGCCAATGCACTTCTGAGATCGATTCCTTTCTCTGAGTTCGTTCACTCGTTTCACATTTTCCTACGTTTTTCGTATCGTTCACTCGCTTATTAAACCCTATTAAGAACTGACGCATAATCAATGGATCTTATTTCTGCTGTGAAGAGGAGAATGGCGTTCAAACTCTCAATGCGCATCGATGAGCGCGGAGCGTTAGTGTCCAAGCTGCCGCTGACGGCCCGTGCGTTGGGGCATTTTGTGCTAGAATTAGAAATGCTCTATTTTTTCTCCACTTCCTACAGGATAAATGAGGATGTTCGGGAAGTTTGGTTTTACACAATTCCTCTTGACACCTAGAGGCGAAGCAGCTATAATCAGGCCAACAGCTGACTCAAACTGAGAGCTTGAATGGCTTGGAGGAGTTGTCCTACGCAGAAATTGCGCTGTGTAGGCAGCGCCTCGGTGGCAGTTGAAGCCCATGCGTCCTAACAACAATATAGCTGCGGAGGGCCGCGCCAAATCGCCAAACCCCAAGCCTTCCAACGTTTAGCACGAAATGCCGCAACGCAAAGGGCATCAGCGACGGCGTGAACGCTAGGGCGGCCTGTCCAGCGTTGTCCACGGGTGGCCAGCAGCCGCCGCGCTTATCGCTGTACTCTGAAATCTGCGGCGAGACAAGCGTAATACGAGCTATGGGAGTTAGCGGGAAGAGAGCTAATATACTGATGTATCAATACAAAACAATCTAATAAAAAGCATGCTATATGTTGGTGGGTGCTCAACATTCGTAAAATCACAAAACATACTTTGAAGTTTTTGTCTATTACTGATTCCTTAGGAAGAGGTAGACAACGTTGGGAACTCTCCTTTGCCGCTGTTCCCACTATTCGCTAAACTTGGCGACTGTTTTGCCCAGGTGGGACGCAAGTCGAGAGCAGTAGTTGGGCATGAAGAATGTGGCTTTATCACTTCAAAAGAATCCATCGACGCTTCATTTACTTTCCATCCGGCACCTCAAGAAATATTCTAAGCAGAAGGTAGCATAACTTGAAAAAAAATATTTAATATTCACCTTGCGGTATTACGACAAAGTTTTGGTCCTGACCATTATTTTCGGACTTCAGAGAAGGAAGAGTAGCAGGTGGAGGCATTCTTCGCATAACACCGATGCTTTTTCCAACAGAGGTCAGCCCATACCTGCCTGCAACATTTACATGAATAGCCTGATGTTGTCTAACACTTGACTATATGAAAACCCGCTTGATGTTATCTACTATTATTCGCTGTGTGACTTTTTCATCCGCTTCTTTTGTGTTGCTAAGTGGGGAGAAGTTCATAGCGGCTTTATTAGAGTGTCCAAAAAGTTTTGAGAAAATTCAGTCCGTTTTTTCAAAGCAATATAAGTACAGCAACAAACTTAGAGCAGTGGTGAAGACAGTGGCCCTCCTAAGTAACAATGTCTCTCTATCAACCGGGTCGGACATTGATGCCATTTCTCCAATGTGAAGGGAGGCGTGACACAATTCATTCAACTACCGCCTACTTGACTTCTTAACAGTCGGTGAATTTTTTCCCTGTAGAGCAGCCTCACGGGCTTCTGAAAATATGGCAGTCATATGGGTTGAGGTCAGGTGATTATGTATGGAATGACGCATTCAGGTTATGCCTAGTCTTTCTAGCTCATCCATCAACGTCTTCGCGTAGGTTAGTTGAGCATCATCCATCACAATCCAAAATTCCCTTGTAACCGGTATGAAATAGGGGCTCGATACACCATCTCGCTTAGTCGGTAATAGGATACCCTTGTTCACAGCAGTACCTCCTAGTAAAAGACTCGGTTGAGAAGAGTAATAATGAGCTCATGTCTTTCTTGGCGTGAGCGCCTCCCTTTGTAGCGAACTATGGCCTTACGTCCAGTAGTAGGTATGCGATTGCCCGTGCGGATTTTCGTGCAGCATCTATTTGTTATCGTGAGTAGTGCTGATGTCGTCGTTGGCTAACAGTAGAGGAGCTTCTGACACACACTGATTTGCCGTCGACGCTCATGCTCAGTCAAAATGTGCGATACTCGGAAAGCATCCTGCTCTGAAGGTGACTAGTGTGTAGCACGTCTTGGATGATACATAGGGGAAAGAGATTCTACATTTCCTGCCACTTTGAGGAGGATTGCTTCGACGGGAGGCAAGAACAGTGCCGGTATCTGAGGACTGTGAACGTTTGCTGCGACAAACTTTGTTGAAGCGATCGTGCAATTTGTGGTAGGTGACAAGTGAGGGTTACTGCTGCCCATCGGGCTCCATACCCATTTCAAGCCTGAGTGTCGGAGCGATCAGTTTAGTATTGGTGATTTAGATGGCTTCGGTATCGTACAAGTGACTCATCGTTTGGTCGAGAATTACGTGCTTCGAACGACCACGTCAAATACCGATCAGCTATAGTATTGATCCTTCAACAATGCCCCTTTCACCGATATCGAATCTACAGTCTTTCTTCACCGCGTTCGCGAGCAACATGCTTTCAGAGTTGAAAGGCGTAAATTTCTCAAAACTTCCCCGACACCCTACGTAGGTTGTCTTTTATAATTCGAGATTAGAAAATAGATGAATATTCGTCGTTGAAAATCGCTTTACTGCCTTCGAAAATATTCCCCATTAGGATCTGTACACTTTTGCATGATTCAATTTTCGAAGCACTTTTGCCACTCTGATCGAGGTAACTCTAAAACATGCATTCTGAACGCGTCAACGGCTTCTTCAGGTGTCGAAAAACGTTGACCTCTCATTTTACTTGCTACGTACGGGATAAGAAGAAGTCACCCTGGGACTATATAGCTGATGATTCATCAGATCGTTGTTTTGTGTGCTCAAAAATGCAGTTGTGTGAGCCTATGTGTGGGAGCTGGAATTGTTGTGGTGAAGCGTTATCCGTCTTCGGCAATTATTTATCCTGATTTTTTGGGGAACAACTGGCAAACGAATGGTTGTATACCACTCGGAATTGACTGTTCTGCTTGTTCTAGAGGTACGGTTGCGACATATCAAGTTTTTTCAAAAAAAACAGGCGACCGTTTGCTTGGAAGTGCTTCGTAGCTTTGTCGGACAGCAAACAGCTTTTGTCGGATTTGGCTTATCTTGAAATACCCATACGGTCAACTGCTATTTACTTTCGAGCTCATACCCGTAAATCCATGATCCATCACCTGTCACGATGTCACAGGCGTGTTTCGAAGCCCCGCAATCGTATTTTTTGAGCATTTCTTTCGACCAATCGACGCGAGCCTTTTTTTTGAGAGATTGACAAATCTTGTGGGATCCAATTTTTTACAGTCAAATGTCCATGCAATATTGAAGGTATGCTGGTCCCTTCAATGCCTAAGGTTCTCCCAATCTCACGATAGGTCACATGACGATCTTGCAATATTAGTTTGCGCACAGCATCGGAACAACAACTAATTTTGGAGACCTCCACGAAATTCGTCTTGGAGTGAACTAAGAGCTCGGTTGAAATCAACATACCATAGATAAGCACTGGTCCTTGAAGGAGCTTTATCACCGATGGGGGAGGGGGAGATTAAGGGGGAAGGAGGTTTGGCCTAGATGGGGGGTGNCCGAGACTGGAGTTTTGCCCACAAATCGCCAACCTTGTGATCGCCTAAATATTCAATCCGCTCAACGTCAGGAGAAATGAGTCTTACCTACTTTAACTCACTTTATCTGCAACCTAATTCTTTCCGAAAGGCCTTCGACCTTCCGCTCAAAATCGGGATCATTCAATCGTAATACTGAGCTAGTCCCATAAATGACTCCAGGTCCTGAAAATTTCTCCCCTAACACGGCGTCGCACACGCCGCACCCGCCGCCTATCGCAGGATTGCGATGAAAGATAGGAGCGCGCAATTTGTGAGGTAGGGAGTCCTTTAATTACTTGAATTGACTGACCGCTTTCTTCAATTTCAATGCAGTTTTGACAGCCGCTTGCACAGGAGGAGTAATTTTAATTAATCAAGTCCAATAAACATGAAAACTAAAAAGAAGCAGAAGAAAAAACGATAAAATCCAATGAAAAAGCAAGCCAGTCAAGGAAAAATATCGCGTTCTATCGATTTTCGGGAGGCGGTGTGAGTACGGTAATAGCACTGACATTTGCCGCATGCCGCAAGGGAGAATGCCGCGATAGGGGAGAAGTTCCGTTACCCGTCGTGATGATACAAAACGTGTTTCTCATGCACGAGAAGCTGCGGCTTCTTTTGAAACTCGAGCTATAGAAGACTATAGACCCTTCCAACAGTGCCATAAAATTGGAGCTCACGGGCCAGATCACAAACTTGAGGGCTATATTTCACTTCGGAGCCTCTATATCCCCACAAACGTCGGAAGTTTCATTTGTGAAGCTGCGGGTCCATCATCGCTGTCCTTAACAGGCGACCGGAGAGGATCATTGTAATCGTCTTTCACGAATTCGACTTCTTCGCAAAGGATAACGGGCTTGTTTTCATAGTATCGATAAGTACTATTCGAAACACTTCATTACCGCCTCTTGGATAGTGTTGGTGTCTACTTCATGCTCCAAAGAAATTCTTCCCACCAAATATGGTGACCCCATATTCGCTCAGAAGATTCGCTGGTAACGTGTTGAAGAGCGTTTGATCCGATGAATTATTTGAAATCTTCCTCCTTGAAGCCTTTGAAGCTCATTTTATCCAAATATTTAGAATTCCTCTTTTGCTCTAATGGAGCTCCACCCTTAATCGGCCGGTGAGAGGCAAAAGAAATTCTTCCCTTGTGATACCTCTCCAGTGTTGCTAAATTGTGAGTGAGCCCTGTAGATGCCCAACATTGAGCCCAAAAACGTTTTGCAAGCGTTTAGGACGCATTTTATGGAAAAGCAAAGCGAGCCCATGCATTAAGGAATCGAACCTTGTTGTCATGCCTATCAGTCCACCACACTATCCCCTAGGCCATCGCTAAACAGTTAACTGATTCGCTCGGCTCGGTGATCCGTTCAGCGCAGTGGTATAACACAGGGAGGCCCCGGTCCCGTAACTTTGTTCCCAGAATCGTTCCGCAGAATTAGAAAACAGATTTGAGATCAGCGTTCAAAACCACCTACTGGGGTATACATCTAATCTTGAATGGCCACTGCGACCAAGTATCCTTCCCTTGTGAGAGACTCAATTTTCGTTCTTCCCGGGAAAGAAGGCAAAAAATTCGAGAAAATGGGAAGATTATTATATATTTGGATTCTTCGGAGTCTTTAGCTAGAGTTATGGCGAAGCAACGTATTCATCCGTTGCAAACCGTCGGTTGACCATGGGCAGATTGTATGGGTGCGTTTCGTTGCGCGCGTCCGTAACAAACTGGGTCACGCCGCAGCCATCGCATGCGAGGGTCAGCCCGCGATACTTTACGAACGTCGCAATTGTCACTTGGGCATACGACTTGCGCTTGGTCCACGGCAGTCAGCCAAAGAGAAGATAACACGGACAAATGCAAAACATTCGCTCCACTGACACTTGGTTGTACTGTAATGTCATCTCGAAACAGGATGGTGCGCCGCGCGCGAAGGGGGCTGAGCGACCTACTTCCGACGGACGCGCGCAACGGACGTTCTCCGTATTGTATGTGTGCTAGGAGCGGGGGCTTTTGTTATTTTGACATTTCAAGCCAGATTAAAGTTGACCGATTACGACAATGATGTGGACCTTGTTGGTCTTGTAGTTATCAGCTCAGAGGAGACAGCTAAGGACGTATCCCGAAATGTTCGAAAATTGGGGCTCCGCATACGTCTGTTCAATTATTTTTTACATCATTCAGGCCCGAGTAGCAATCTATTCAGAAAGCTTCAGCAGCATTATAACGTTTCATGGTAACTAAAGAGGACGATGGGTGATCATTTTAGACTCCTTCAGGTCTTTACTCGCATCACAGTCACCGCCGGGATCCTTTTATTGGTATCAGACTCGTCTAGGAAGAGTCTAGGAAGACGAAATTCCTGGCATACACTAAGTTGGCAAGTCATTGTATGGGCCACATGCGCATTAAAAAGGCCATTACAATTCTGAATGAAAGTCGAGTAAAGCAAGGCATCAAGAAAATAGATTAATTCACGCCGGAAGCTTTCCTTTCTTCCTTTTTTCTTTTTTCCTTCGATTGATTGTGAGAAGGGAAGTATACTAGACCACATGTCAGAGACCTATATCACCTTTTGTGTTTTCTGCACATCTCAAATCTACATTCGAAATGATTCTGGTGACAAAGCCACGCAAGCTTTTCCTCGCACTGAGGATCCCGTCAAACATAAGGCATGTTGATTCACTATGGTAAACGTGAATTAACGCCGCACCTGGTAGGACTTACAGGCATACAGGTCATAAGGGGTTTATTCTTTGACGTGTGAATCTGTTTCTCTTCAAAATGTATATTAGCTCTTGCAAAAGAGTTCTACGCTCACCATTGCTCGACTGTAGCATTCGGCTCACCTTGGGAAGTGTCGGAAATGATCGTTTAAGAGAATTGTTATTCTACCTCTTCTAGTCCCCAGAATAATCCACTTTCAATTCGGTGAAGTCGAGATACGAGATTTCTGATCGATTAGAAATTGCTCAGAGTTAGACTCCTGCTTGCGCTCTGTGCTCGTGTAATCCGAAGTTCTTTAGCAAGTACGACTATGCCGTTTTCGGGCAGAATACGTCTTTAGAGGGCCGTCGCAAAGCAATCCACCACCGCTGTTCTTTTCTGTCTAGTATGAAGATAAGCATCAGAGGACATTACTCTGATACTATTATATGAGGTTCCAATCTGCGCTATGATTTAACATAAAACAACTACGTTCCTCTCGCCTGATCGCTCAAAGGTAGCGGCGATGACAGCTTCACTAGGTCCTCACGCGCCGAAGAAGGCACCGCCTACCATCGATGAAGCTTAGTTAGAACTCCCAAGCGAGATCCATTAGTGATGAAGGTACCACTCTCGAAGAAGTAAGAATTACTATAAATCTCCGTTACTGGGTCAGTATATATTACATTCTGTGAGATCAGCTTCAATCCAACTTCTATCACTTTGGAATATTGAGCAACCAACTCAACCTTCACTGAAAAAAGTTTTGACACTCTTCTTTTTCATTTCATTCATTTCTTTGAAGAGTAAGCTGGACGTGGATGGCACATTTGACCTTCTATGATATCGATTTTTTCGATATTCTACCTGCTTTTTACCTTCTAGTGTTGGCTTGTAATCTCATCTTCTGGTGTGCATCCCTCACCTTACCTTCACCGTACAAACTCTTCCTTTTCTTCAATTCTATTCTTCTTCATTTTTCGAGATTCCGCCTATATTGTACGTGGATGGCGCTATTATTAAATGCTGAGTTTTTCACTCCACTCTATTCTCAATTTGACTTCTCTTATACTACCGATATCCTATCGCTATTAAACTACTTTTTTATAAATACAATACCCGCTCCGACTGTTCAAAAAATCACAAAAAGACGAATCACGTCTTTCTCACAATTCCTTCATGACTGGGTTGGTTTTTGCATACAGTGGGTTACACAGTTCGACTCTCGATCTCTGCAAGGTTGTGGATTGGAAATTTCAAAAAGTCTTCCGTCCATCGAAGTTCCTAGGGTATGTCAGTAGCAACGATGCTCGCTAAAATTATAACCAGAAGGCCTTCGCTTTCATTAAAAGTACTTAGTGAGTTTTGGTGTGGCCAACACACTTCAAAAATTAAATGTAGAGTGGCTCATCGCGTTTCTCAGGTTGCACTGATCATCATTTCGCTTCCTCTCAAACGGATGTAATTGACCATGCACCATTTCCGAAGACAGCAAACGGGGGGATGATGAACATGAGTTTATTCCTATATTCGATGAATATTATGCCCAAACCTAACAACGGCCCCTCTTTTTGGTTCTTATTGTACACTTCAACGCGACAGAAAAAGTATTTAATCGTTCTAAACCCGCTTCGCGGCCGTATTCTAGCTTTTTTATGCGCGATTTCCGATGTTCAGGAAGGAGTTATGCACTTTTTCGAAAGTTTCGATGCTGAATACTTTGTGAACATTGATCTCGGCACCGCGATGCTCTAATCCACACGAGGCGATCTCATTGTTTTTGCGAAAGTCCCACCACTCACCCTAATCCACGTAGTATTTTTCACTCGGAAGCTAACGAGTTGTAAATAAATGTTACCTACCTGGCTTTGAACCGCAGAAGACTGAATCTCATTTTTCATTTATTTTCATATGAAGTGAGTTTGAACTTAAGAAAATTCACAGAATTCAAATTCATCCCCCAATACTACTCAACGGTATGAGGATCAATTCACAAATTCCACTTCGGATTTGCCTTCAGCACCGCTTGTTTACCCTTCTCCTTCAGTCGGCCACCTACCTATCTAACTCAGCTGGCCAAGTTAGTGTGCTGGTGAAACTTGCTTCGATGTGCGCCACCAACCGACAGCATAAGAAATTTTCCCTTCAAACTAGATGGGCACAGCACTACACACCATTGTTTTATTTCGACAAAGGTGTTCGATTTCTACCGAAATTTTTTTAGAATTTTTTTTCAAGTTTTATTATATCAAATGACGGTTCGCAACATAGTTCTTCCAGTGCTGAATACTTGCATCATTTTCAAGCGCATCGATGAGTGAGTGTAGCAGCTGCATTTGAATATGAAGGTTGTTAAACAGTTTACGACTGCGTCGCCATTAGTAGATAGGCTATTGTCGAGGTGAGAAAAAAACACCCTCGCCATTGGCACAGAGGCCGCTAAGTTTTGCGGAATAATAATTGAATCACTTTAAGGCGCTGAAACCAGCTTCTGTAGGAAGACTGCGCTTGAACCGATCCACAGAAGTATGCGAAATAGAAACAATACAGATTCAATATAGAAATAAGGCCATCAGTCCGAAAAATAAAATGAGGGATGATGACTGAGTTTCGACTTAAAAAAACAAACATCTTGTTTTGGAGTGTGATCTGCTTCATTGAAAACAGTTATATTTAGGTATTGTACAAATTCAATGAGAAGCGCAAATTTTATGCTTACATCATCGTAATATGTACTGTCGGCATATCGATGACTGTTTCGTAATTACATAGACGCAGCACGAGATGAATGAATTATTTGGCATCCTCAACCGATAGTCTCAGAACATCAAGTTCACGAGAAAAAATCTACGTGAAGGCTGACTTCCTTGTCTAAACACGCAGATTAACATTCCAAAGGAAGCTATAAGGCAATGTGGTATCGAAAAAACAGCTCGAAGAACATCTTAGTCGACGCGAAGTCCGCCCACATTGATGCTGTAAAACAGGATTGTGTGCAGGGGAAGTGAAAAGTCAGGAGTAACGTAAGCTACCATTTGAGATTGAGTTGTTACGGGATGGAACACAGATGATCAGGCTCACAAATGTATTTTCCGGAAAATCGTGTTAATATGGCGCATCTCCGGCTTCCTTTCATATATCGGGCAAAGTTAGCTCAGAAATCCGATAATGCACTCACGAGTGGCTAACGGTGTTGTGCATGCAGACCTAGCAAGAGACAATATCAAACGTACTCCGCAATAGACTTTATAACGGTGCATGTTGTACGGATACTGCGTCAGTTGCTCGTTTGAAAAAGATTGAAATCGCCCACAGTGAGGGACGGTGTATCAAGCTCAATGTTCAGCTTATGGAGAAATTTAGCCTACTCACACCACTTGACAAGCACCGACTAGAAGGGCATAAAAGCTATGATTTTGACCTACAAAATCCTAGCCCACGAATATGAGATCGGTGCTAGAAACATTTTGGAAGCGTTACACATGCGCACGAAAAATCCAAAGCTAGACAACCGAAATGAGTGCATGGCGGAACAAGTGAGCCGTCTCAATTGCCCCCTTTTGTTCCTATGGCTGCTTTCCGCCGGCGTGCTGGCGTGCTGGCGTGCCGGCGTGCTGGCGTGCCGGCGTGCTGGCGTGCCGGCGTGCTGGCGTGCCGGCGTGCTGGCGTGCTGGCGTGCCGGCGTGCCGAGGCAGTGCTATGGTGAGGAGGGTGGCAGACGGTCGGCCAGCCCCTCGAAGGGCTGTAAACAAAGAGAGTCAAGATCAAAAACCATTTGTACAAGCCCCTGGTTGTTAGATTTTTGGTCTTGTTCTCTGTTTTCAGCCCTTCGAAGGGGCTGACCGACCGTCTGCCTCCCTCCTCTCCCCTAGCACTGCCTCGGCACGCCGGCAAGCAGCCTATCTCATCTCATAGGTCCCTTGTTGTTTACGAAATAGTCTGAGACGTCAATGCTGTGAAACCGCGGGAGGTTGGCCGGGATTTCTTAACGTTGGAATTACAAAACGTTCAAAACTACGACCAACCGTAACAAACCTAAACGGCAGACCCGTATGGGCCTTCAGTAAAATCCCCAGGCTTCAAAAAGGGAGATAGTGGAAGCTGAATAATTGTATACAATAATATATCAACCAATACCATTAGTAATGGAATGTTGCAATTAACATTGAAGCTATAGGACTGGTACACGATGTGTAATACGATACTAATTTGTAGGGATTCTGTAGAGACCAGTAAGAGGAAGTGAATAGAATGATACGACAGGAATACTACTCATTGAAAGTGCAAAACTGGAAACCACTGAGATGGCGGCATTTAACATGCTGGTGACTTGATTTGAAAGGTACAGCACGAGAACTATTTTAACTACATGAACTGCCTGCTTTACAAAAATGTTGATGAATGACGACAGTGTGGCAAAAATGGAATCGAATGAAACATAGGTAGAGAGAACATTCGAGACGCCTAAACAGATAGATGCATTAATTTAATAAATTGAGTCGTTGAGAAAATTTGTTTTTTTTTTGTGACGGCAAGCACGCGGTCTCATTGCCGTTCAAAGCTTTCCTTAATAGCTGCCGAAGTGAATGTTGTATGGATTTCAGATGGCAGCATTAACTGAATTGAATGGGGAAAATGAAAATGTACAAGTAGTGCATCAAATGATCGAAAGGCTAGTCAGTGTTGTGTTGATCTCCTCACTCAATGAACACGTGGCTGTATTTCACCTTATGCTACACAGCATGAGTGACGAGTCGTTTCTGCCTAGCCCGTGAAGAACCGTGTAGTGATAGACACAGCGGATTCTGGATACTAAACACTTTATCTTTTCATGTATGAATGAAAATTCAAATTATGACGGCTAAATTGGAAGTCGATGGGGAAGGTAAGTAATCAAAGGTAAATAGTATCCAAACAGGAGAAAGCACTGACATGTTATGACTCAAAATGACGAGCTCAAATATCTTTATCTAGACAGGAGTGTGCCTGATAACTCACTAATAACATGGCTGAATGAAAAGAAATGTGCAAGGAAATGTAGAAAGAAGGCAGACTTTGACATGGTTTTCTTGTGTGAATCATTTTCACGATACTATTTCTTAATGCTCATCATTCTTTTGTGTAGTTATCAAATTTTCTCAATGAGGCTATCGTTCTCATTCTCTTCCTCTATTTCACTTTCCAGAGGATTCCGATATAAATGAAGAGAGCTTCCACACTGTAGAGCAGCTTCCGCTACCGTTTGCTTCCCTACTGATGCCGGCTCAGATGTTGACAGTGCAATCGCGATCTCCCCTTAACCGTAAGGATCAGGAGCGGTCTCAATACCAATCGAAGATCAAAAACAAGCTTATTTGCTGGGAGGAATTTGATAATGATTGCTGCGTTCAGAAGAGACGTCGGTGAATAATGGTCAGCTTTCTGCTCCTCTGCGTCCTCTCACTAACAAGAAGGCAACGCTCTGTGATGTTTTACTGAAGCATTTCTGTTGGAAATTCCGACTCATTATCAGGAGCAGTGACCATTTAGTTGTTTAGTAATATCATTACTACTTCCAGGTGAACGTTACTACATCTAAAGATACCCGAAAAGACATAGATAAACATGAAATCTTTTGTCTTCGTCTTACCGGTAGCTTTTTTGCATTGCGACAGGCCATATGACTCAATATTTTTTAATGACCTCCCCAAACCCCAGTTAGTGTTACAATGGAGCATTAATAGCTGTTGATGAAGAGATTCATATCGAGAGCTTTCGACTTATTCGTAAATCTCCAGCGTAGTGTGAATGCCCAATCCAGCAACAGTTTTTGAGGTTGTGTGGTGAGTGACTTTCATTTCCATGTATAGAGTGGTATATGAGCATATCAAGATTTGTTTCGACCGTTTTTTTTCAGTCTTTTCCATTTACATTTTTTGTGGCTATAACCGACCTTTATTAAAGTCTCGAGAAGTGCTTTCGACGTAATGTTATGATGACGTGGAGCCACTATAACAAGCAATGAAAGTGGTGAAAGCAGAAAGGTGAACCGTTAAAGCGCAATCAGTGGCACTTTTGCTCAAATTTTCCGTGAATTTTCTAATTGAAACGCTTCCTTTACGACAGTGTGTGAATAACCACTTCAGGTAACGGATAGTTAACTACCACGTAGTACGAGCCTTGAATGAGCACAATAGCAGCCCATCAACCAAAGGGCATCCCTTCGAGCGCTCGAAGTTATGCGAGAAGACCACTCATCATACGCATATCATACGCAGCTCTCAACAACGACGGAAGTGAGGATCATGCAGAAAATATTATTGCTCATTTTCGTGCCCTTATTCAACTGAAACGATAATGACTTTCGAAGTTTGAAGTTTTTCCAAGCCAAACGTTCACAACCAGCCATTGATCAAGCCGGTCACAACCAGCCATTGATCAGGAGTTCGATCATTCACTTAGTGAACTACAAGGGGAAACCTTGAACATAGACACACTAATCCCTTCGCAAACGACATTCATGCGATTGACCACTCACGCTAAAGGTCTGAAGGGCTCACTGTTCTATAAAATTTGCGCCATTCTCCAGAGCAAAGTACTTCAGCGGTGGAAAAACCCGTTCCTAGGCGAGAACGCATTGATAATGCAAAATACCTCAGCATCATATCGATGGAGGAGAACATGAGCAATATGATCCATTAGAAACTTGAGGAAAATATTCAATCATTTTTTCAAAAAGTAAGCAACCTTGGTTCATGTCTATGCATTTTGCGCAAGTAAAGACCATCGGACGATGTTTTGCAAGAGATACAAGGGGATCAATACGATTTCAGTGAGCACAAAAATTGTAAAATGGCATCCAGATTGCGCTGTACAAGGACACCTCGTCAAATAGATGGATGAAATGCTTGCAAGGAAAAAATCATCACGCATTCCGTCAACAACGTTGCACGCCAACATGAAACCCCACAAAAAATTACTAAGGCTTCTATTCAGAAAGGCGATTGTGCTTATGCGTCTCAAAGCAGCTTTAGTAACGTTGCGAAGAATCTTTCAGCTATTCCATGAATATAGTTGAGTTAGGCCCATGGCGGAGGCGCTGCAGTGGCAAGCGGTGCAGTATTTCACACGCACGGTCACGGGTTCGATACCCGTATTGATATCCGCCTAGGCCGACCGAGTCTTCCAACTATCCGAGGTCCAATCATTGATACTAGAGTCGTTCGGAAGGATAAGAGCATTGACTTGTACATGGACTGACCACCGCAAGTTATTGTATAGGCCACGTACGCAGTCGATTAGCTACTCCTATTCTGAACAGAAGTCGAATGCGGGGACGCATGCCTAAGGCGAGATCGATTAACGATCCGAGACTTTATCCTTTTATCCTTCCATTCTGGGCAGAGGAAGAAACTGACGTCATTCGAGAAATTAAGAACCTTTTCCAATCTAACGACGCTGTAGTCCGCCACATAACCCAACAGCCGATGATAACTCTCTAAAGAAAGCACCAAATCGTGAACCGTTTTCAGCGCATTTTTTAAGAAATATTTTTGTGAAGCTTTCTGCAAGTGCGTACATAAAGTCCATAGTGATGCAGAAAATTTTTTATGGGTGCTCCATTTAACTGCGCCAAGCTATAGAATGTGTCAAATGTCAATCAATATCAATCAAATGTGTTCTCCTACCCTGTAGTTTACCATTTGCCATTGAGCTGACAAAAATAATACTTAGCGAATCGCACAAAGAAAATAGAAATCATAAGTGATTGACTTCATCCTATTTGCCGCATGGATTTTCTGCTGTTCGAGGCTATCAAGTTGAACATTTTATTAAATTAACGGCTTGACGTTTCGACGTAATCATCGTTCTTAGAGCCTAGTCGCAATTCGATATTGTTTACAATATCCGACACCGTTCGGTCACTCTAGCAAAACAGCGACCGAAACTAATCGGAGATCTACCCATTTCATAAAATACTCATCAGACTCAGCCGTTGGAAGAAGATAGAATCCGCCGTCGCCACAGGCGATTGTCAGTGGCGAATGAGACTTCTAGATGCCCTCCTTATGTTTATGATAAGAGGGATCACATTCATGGCTCGCACTAAGTAAGTATGGCGAGAGGTCCTTAGGTGTGGAAGGGCACTTATCTCTGCTAAGCATTTTGGATTGCTTTGCATTATCCCGAATGTTTCTGATATCATTTTTGCTGAAATTCTCGCTTGCTGCGCTAATATCGTACACTTTGCTTCAAAGTTGTCGCCGTTGTGCTCCTCAACTTCAAGCCGATCAAGCGCTGTTAAAAGGTTACCGCGCCTCATACCATCTAGATGTCTTTCGCAGTATAGCTATAATAGCTGTCGTCGTGTCGCCGATATAAGTTGATCCACATACCCGACACTCTAGCTGGTCTATCAGTCGCGATCACCTATTTTTTCGTAAGGACAGGTGGTACAACCGTTTTCAATTTGCGAAGCAATGCTTGTCGCAGAGCCGATTTCGAGCTAACTGCTGCTTGATGTCATTGTTGAAAGTGTTCAACAGAAGGACTTCATCTTGTAAACCAACTCTTAAAATGCTCTGTTGCCTGCAGTGTTAAATTTATCGAGATGCAAGGAAGACATAGTGCGGTAGTTTGGTCTGGCGCGATGCTCCTTGTGTGTTTTAATGCGCTGTGTTCCACGGCGTTTACGGTAAAACTTCCCATCAAGATCACGGCCGGACACTTTGACTTGTTCGTTGAGAAAAAGGAAGCCAACCATAGCTGGGGAATGCAGAGATGACTGTCCGCCCAAAACTGATGACCTCCTGCTGTACCACCGCACTGCGAGCTATAAGTCATGGTGAGTAGCGTTATCATAACGTTATCTCCCTTATCATAAGTATAAGGGAGACATCGAGAAGTCTTATTCGCTACTAGCAGTCACCCTCGGCTACGATAAAGTCTTTCCGTTCCAACGGTGGGGTCTTTCATAAGTTGATTTGCGTTCAAACTTCAGAGGAAACCATTGAGTCGTAACGTTAATTCATTAATAGTTAACAGTTAGTTAACCTCTATAGGCAAAAAAGGAGTGGTATTAATCTACTAATCTATTTGCTCGAATCGTATCCCTGGTATCTCTAAGTTGATGCATAAGCTCTGTCTTCCGACTTTTTTGTAGATATCTCAATAGCCAACCAGCCCAAATATTAGGGGTATGCACCATCAGCATCCACTGCTTGACCCCAACTCTCAGGCAGCTTGACGATTCCATCCTCCCAGGAGGATTGGGCTGGCACCTTTTCGACCTCATCCTCTGTATCGAACTTGTGAAAATTGTGCGCTTTTGTGACCTTCATATGCAGGATGGGGGGTGGTAGCTAGCGTAATGAAGTAGTATTATGCAGAATTCACGCACCGTGATCGCGAAATACCAACATCCTTGCAAACGAAATACGTAATGATCAAACTCGGTGGAAAAAATATATGCATCAGCCTAATACTTCCCTAGCAATGAAAAGCTTTCCAATTGCAGGTCCAGTGCGCCAATGATCTTTCATCTTAGACATCCGAACTCCCATTTGTATGCATAGTCGGATGTATTTTTTGACTTTGGCAGGGCATACGTTAGAATCAATTTGATCTCTCCTGTCTATTCTTCATTTCGCCGGTTGGTGGAAGCATCTCTGTGTTCAAACTTTTTTTGTAAAAATCAACTGAATCGTGATAAAAATGAAAATATTAGGTCGAGTAAAAAGTTTTGATTGGCTTTTCAATCTTCACTTTAAAAAGTCTTATTTCCATTGAAAGAGGATCTCAATTAGTAAAATAGTCTTCATCGTTTTCCTAAACATACGTCTAGCGATGCGGCAGTTTCTGGACTTCCGAAGCCCAGAACGGTGGCGGCCGCGATTCCAAAAAGCTGGAGATCTCATTTTTGAGTTCCGGGCAATCATCAAAATTTCTATCGCGAAGGTGATGCTTCAGAGCAAGAAACAAGTGGTAATCAGACGGAGCGAGACCTGGCGAATAAGTAGAAGGGGGCAGTACTGCCCATCCAAGTTCGGTAATTCACTGACAAAACAATTTCGCAACATGCGGTTGAGCGCTGTCGTGTAAAAGGCAAACATTTTTAGACTGCGGACGCTTCCTTCGAACAACGTCGGGACATAGTCCACCTCTCTCGTTGTCTTGGAGGTGTTTCGTCATGACGCCCCCGTGGGCTAGGATACGATGACTCTTCTGGATGCACCACAGATATTTGCAACAGCCATCGGTGGATTATGCCCTTACAGTAATTCGTGATAGACGATAGCTCTCAGACAGCTTCGGACGACAGTCGAAGGTTGAAGTCATTTTTGCGAGGCTCTTACAAGGGGTATGTCCCCCTAAAAATACAGGTTAGGGATCGCTTTATTATAACCCATTGCGAAGTCCTTCCGAGCGGTCCTACAAAAAAATCTAGAGAGGAACGAAGAGTCGATCAAAACTTTTTACTCAACCTTATAGTTATGTGAACTAATATGTTCGGAGCGTTAAGTCTTCACGCATTTCCGCTTCACAAAACCATTCGTCTCCAGTTTTGCTGTCTGATACTGATAATGTCTTATCACTTCCCGAAACAAATCTATCCTCCATAGATAATAGTGACGCATTTTTGTATAAGGAATCATTCCTCATAGGATCCTATACAAATTCATCGAAACTGTTCGAAAGTCTCTCGAAACCAATCTCTTTCAGGCTGATCCGCGATCCGCTTATACTCCTATAATATTGTTGTGCTTGAAACTGGAAGGAGAGAACAAATAACAACCCAGTCTGCTTAGTATACTAATGGCAGGTAGCAGGTGTAGACTTTGCCCACGGGGCCAAGACCCGCGCAAAAATTATTCTCACAGGGCTAGAGCATTATTTGGGAGGTAATCAGGCGGTACGATTAGAACGCTAATGGCAGGTGACAGGTGGGAAGGGGGAAAGGGGTGGAGAGGATTTGAAACCGACAATCCTACCCGAAAGCCTCCCAGACAATACACGCCAATCCAGAACTTCGCCTTCTTCAGATATGGAGCATTTACAGGTGCTAAGATTTACGCTGTGGAGACTGTTGGCCGATGCACCAATCTGCTATATCGATATGTTGTGCAACTGGTCTGTCCTTCGTAGCATTGTTTCCTTCAGTGGTACAGTGTTGCAAGTCTGAGGACCTAGAAGAGATGTTGTGGGAATACAGCTGTGAACGTAGCGATCGATAAAGTTGCCCGATATGGGGCTGCTAATAAGTGCTCACTAAGCCGTTTCAACATTATTGCAACCTTTGGAATAAACTGCTGCACGTAGTGGTGGTGTGTTTTTGAAGTGGTTCGATATTGTAGCTATGCATACTGAACCACCTAAGTAATTTCAAGTTAATCGTTGAAAATCATTGTATCAATCTTTAACTGGTATTAACTGCCTATTAGCGGAGCATTGTCAGACGCATGGTCCGCAGATCAAATGTGGGAATGGTATCCGTTCGAGCATAGGCCTAGGCCTCCTATCTTCACGGAGTCGGTCAATTGCTGCCAGCCTCACCTGGGAGGACTATATACCTGAACAGAGGCCGCCACAAGTCATTGCTGAAGTTGCACACGCATCTGAACCATCATTACGATACTGAGTGGAAGCCGAATACAGGGACTCTTCCTAGAAACGAGATTTTACAACATGGAGACTTTGATATTTATCCCACTTCACATCTCTGCAAAAAATGTGTTGACCAGGGGGGGAAAGGGAGAGGTGAATGAAGAAGTTGAGAGTAGCAATTAGGAGAAATTTCGTTTGGATTGCCTACCCAGAAACATCCGCCTGTGAGCTAAGTTTCGAATATTTCCCGCGGGTGCCGCACTGGTTGTACTGATCACGTGTCGGACACAGCCTTTCAGGTGAGACAATGTTCTGCCATTTAGAGCGCACATTTCGTATCACGCCTTTCTCTTCGTTTCTGGTATGGACGTAAAGGAGACCGAATAAAGAGTTCCGAGAAGCTGAGAATCGTAGCGCTTGCGGAACAATCGCCGTCTACACCCTCTCCCCACCACTCCCACACCCTCCACTGTACATCGTGGCAAAATGAACCAGTTAAAAGGGTCTTATATCAGGGTTGAACCTTTTATAATTCCATAAAAGCTGTGTACGATAATGATGGTTGTTGCTTTCCCGAAGAAGCTACATTTGCAAAGAAGTGTGAGATGAAAGAGTGTAGAACTAAATACCTTCACGGAGAGTCTGACCGTTATTTTCATCAAATTTGCTGTTACATTTAGTGAGCCATTCAGACGTGTTGTTTCTTCTTCGCAAGCTTTTGTTTTTTGGCTGTAGAAATGAGTGAATACCTTGAGCAAGAAATAGAATAATACTTTTCAAAATATGAGATTTCGTACAATTTTTTTACCACATCGTGAAGATTGGTGACGACTGCGAGTCATGAGCAGCAACTGCCGCTGTACAGAAAGCTCCCGCAAGTGCCGTTGACTCTGTCGCACACTTACGTATTCTTCTAGTTGCTCTCTAAAATGAGTAACTAGGAAACATTGAAAAAACAAGATATTTTCGAATAGAAAGTTTTCGAATAGGAAGCCACACTTTGCAGTTTTATAATCTCTCCACTGTTGACCCTCTCTTCGACCAAAAAATATGATGCTCAGGACAAGGATGAGCACGATGCATAGCACCGCGATCAGCGGAAAGACAACTACACTCTCCCAGAACGTGTATCCCTCGAAGGTTGTTCCCGCTTCTGAGCTTGAGTGGAATCGAGCCGGATGGACCTATAACAGTAATCTTTTAGCTTCTTGGGTGCTCAATACTAATAAAATCCATGAAGACCTGTCGCTGCTTGGTTATTGTGTTAAGATCACGACGCGCCTCCGGTCTTGTAGTGATTATTCGTTGCAGAGTCACGTTTCGCTGGAAATAATTTTCCTGATATCACTTTCATCCCGAGTTTGATTCAGAACAAAAGTAGTGTGCAATGAAACGACGTACTATTCTTGTGCGACACCAGTCGATTTCAAAGGTGGGATAGAAGAATTTATTCAATGATATCATATGACGTTCATTACAGAATATAGTGCTCGCTTGCAAATGATGAACTAGTCTGTTCACGCTCGTTCCAAAAAATTGCTGCGTTCCCACAGAGACCAAAGATCTGAAGTTGTAATGTATATGACTATTGACATGGTAACTGCTTTTTATTGTTGTGTGGTGTTGTACTGAATTGTGCTGTTGTAGTTTTTCTTACTCTCGAGTCCAGTTACCCAGAAGTGGAGGACGCCGCTGCCAATCGATAAATGAAGGCGCCAACCATTGATGACGTCACAAGGCAGATTCACAATGGGCCAATCACAGCAGCCCAGCAGCCCCGCCCCTTTTGGCGCCTATACATATAAGGCCGGTGATCTGTTAATATATGTTATTGTTCTCCTTGCAGTGGCCAGGTGGAGTGACCACTCAATAAAGACTGATCGGCCGCGTCGAGTACGCCTCGCATACCACGGTGAAGGGGGACACGAGAATCCTACCGTGCGACTTGAGCGCCGGACTAAACACGAAACCGATCGATACCGCCTAGCGGGCGGTTAGGAGCGCGAATCCTACCATAGATAGGCAGAGTATACCCTAGCATAAAGCGAAGGAGGTGCGTGACGTGCCACTCCCTGACCTCACTTCTGCCGTCACTATTGGGGTGTACGAGCTGTCTGTGGAAGGTTGCGAGTCGATCGGTAGCACGAACTAATCGTGTGAAGGACTGAACAAGAGTACACAAGAGAGCTAATAGCTCGCATTGATTACAGAGAAACATGTCGAGTGTGGTGTGCCAACAGGAGCTGGAGAAACTCCTGTTGGACGAGAACACCACAGCACGACAGCTAGCCTCCATCAAAGCGACGCTAGAGCGTCTGTCAAAGAAGCTGGATAAACTCGCAGCGAGTGAAGTGCAACAGGTGAATATTTCAACCGAAGTCGTTGCAGAATTGACACTAAATTGTGTGTTGTTAAGTATTACAGTTGTAACCGTGCAACCGTACTTGTTTTGCCTTTAGTTTTCCGACGAACAATGTTTGAAGGGGTAGGCAGACTTATTACAAGAGTCGCTTCTTACCTACGTGCGAAAACTCAGTACCCAATGTGCTATCCTTATCCTTCGTAAGCCGGTGAAAGGTGAATAGTTGAAGATGTCTGATGATAGCAACAGTGAGAAAGCCCAATGTCCAGAGGAAGAAGCATGTTGTTGAACAAAAATTATGTGTATATCATTGGTTGAAATAGGAGCAGCAACAGACTGAGATGTTTCGATGCGCTGACTTGTACAAAAGTATATCTACCAAATGTGTATCACTGCTATTGAAGAGAAATAAATTTCAGGTAAAGCAGAGGGCTATGGTGAGGGGGTAGGCACATTAGGGAAGGTTGCGTGTATGCAGGATTTTCAAGGTGTGAGTATCTCGAACAGAGGATGGCGCAGAAATGTGAAGGTTGAAGAGTGGAGGGACGCGCGCCTATCGAATGAGTAATCGTCAATGGTTTTGATGGTGATATATTTCTAGTGACTTCTTCTCATGGCGGTGTATTCAGCACTGCATCCTTGGAAATCCTGTAAAGGGAATGAAATAGCCCAACTCTTCCTCCGAATGGTATTTGATGACTATTTTACAACTAGTGACCACAATACAGACTATCTATCCGAGATATTGTGTGCAAATTTACTTACTGTTCTCTTCAGTTATTTACTTTTACACAACTAATAAAAGTATGGGAGCAGTCTTACGATATCTGACTGCTCGCAACTAACTGAAGTCACTTTGTAGTAGGTGTTTTCACAACCTTCAAAATGCATTTTGTTGAACACACTAACCTTTTGCTACTTCCTTATGCGTTCTCAGGGTATAGTTCCCTCCACTTTGTTAGACTACTTTCCCGAAGCAAAAATCCACACTCTCTACAAAGTCCGGTTCATCTAATCGAAAGAAGACGAACTTCGGATACCAATCTAGAACTGCTTTGGCTGCATTGAAGGCACAAAATACTCTGCTCCGGCGTCACTTATCTTATCGACGGCGAAAACAAACACTTTCTTATGGAGACTATCCCCTTCCCTACCCTGCGCGTTATGCATACGCTCCATGGAGTTATTTCTTCAGACGAGGAAGAAAAATCGGGGTGTATCCCCAATGAACTCATCGTAGCTGCGGCTTTGGAGGAGCCGGCGTGGACGACGGAACTTCGACAGAACCCTATTTGTGCTGAGATCGTAGCGAGGTTGGAGAGTGAAAATCTGGACATTGGTATCGTGATCCCTAAACTCTTCCAAGAGCTCGAAGTGGAGGATTTTGTCATGGATCGAGGCTATCTTGCTCTACTAAGCGACTGTTCTGTTCGAAAGGTTGTTCCAGCGTCCAAGAGAAAAGCACTTTTGAGGAAGCACACTCAGTTTTATTGGCTGGACACTTTGGTCCTAGACAGATGATCAGAAAGCTGCCATTAAAGTTGTTCTGGGAGATAATGAAACGGGATATCACTCAGTGGTCCCAGGAGTGTTAAAAGTGTCTGTGCCACAATCATCGCCACCCTATGACACCAGGGTTGGAACCCATCGTTACATCGAAGCCATTCTACCTGGTAGGTGTCAATATCCTAGAAATAGGATTAACGTCCAATGGGAAAAGTTACATACTTAGCGTAATAAATCACTTTTCAAGCAGCATACGCCATTCCATCAAAGAGAGCTACGGAAGTGGCCAGAGTGTTCTTTGAAAGGTGGATCGCTGGAGGAGGAAACCAAAATGTATTCTATCAGGTCAACGAGGGGAGTTCGACAATCGATTGATGTACGAGCTTAGATCACTCCTAGGTATTGACCATGACTATACAAAGGGCTATAATCTTCGAGAGAATGGTCTGACTGGAATATTTAATCAAACAATCATCCAAACGATGAGAAAGGAGGTGGCTGAACATGCTAAGTAAGCTGCGATGCTCCCATTTTGCGTGTTTGTTTATAATACAACAGTCCATGAGTCTACCGTGTGTCACCGTGTTATTTGCTACACGGATTCGATACTTATATTCCGTGGAAGACCATCCCAAGCTAAGAACCTAGCGATTACGTAGTAGACATTGAGAGCTATAGGCAGGAAGTAACTGCGGCCACCAAAATTGGGCACCGAAGATCAATGATAGAGTGTACATGAAAGTTCCGCGCAAGAAGCATATAACTCAAAATCCTAAGCTGGTCAACTTATGGGAAGGGCCATACCATGTGCTGGACACCAGCGAGAGTAGCGCTCTTATAAAATGGATTGAAGGGGGCAAAAACCCTAACCGAGTACCTTTTGACATGTCGGTGAAGTTGCCAGCAGGAGTCTCGAACGACCCTTCAGAACAGCTACGACCCGCAGAAAAAGGGGGAGACCTCGAAAAGAAACTCATCTTGCTGATGGTGTTGGAAACAAGGCCTGTTTCAGGACGCTTATCGCAATGACCACCCGCTTGATCTGAGACGTAAGTGCGACTGCGCGCTGTTCGATCAAATGTGGCATTGTCGACGGAGGCACCCGATGGCCAGATCAAAACAGCTGGTCGACATGTTTCAGCTGCCCATGTAGCTTCTATCTCGGAGCAGGAATGTTGGGGAGACGAATGTGAAGAAGAGGAGCTCTGCATGGAGAACTTTCGGATTATGTCGCCGTACGGGCTAGCATTAGCCATGGAGGCTCATCGACGCCGTTGGCACATTTATGCGGAAGCCATCGAAGCTGTCCAGGGCATGAGATTCAACCATCCAGCGCTTTTCCCGTGGCCCGTTAAATATGACGTGGGAGGTCACATCACGACGGCGGTAGCTATGTTAAAGCATGTAAAAATTCCTGGCGTGGCGCAGTAGGAACGAAATTGTCGCGTCGCGGCGAGAGAGACGCCGCGCGCAAAGGAATGTAGCAGAATGCAGCAGCAAGTAAGAAATTCAGGAACAAAAGAACTAACGATAGAAACTAACAAAAGTACCAATCTCATAGCGATTGAGCTGTATGAAGAACGCTAGAACTGGTATAACGAGGCAAATGGTCCGCGACAGCCGCGTGCGGCGGATCGACTATACAAAACCGTACCTACTGCCCGTCTTCCAAAACTTCCAGAAACGTCCGCGGCAGTCGGTCAACCAGTATTTTTGGCGTTACCACCAGGATCCGCGAGGGCACACATGGGAGTCGATTACGGTGACGCGTTAACCGTGTACGTCTTCAAACCTGGGAGTTCCTAGCTCAGAAGCTACTGGAAGTCAATATACATATTTAATGCCATAATCGTAGTATGGCCCGACATGATGCCGTCTGGAAGGTCTATGAGGCGATTGTTAATTGCTCTGGAAACACATCTACAGCCGGTGGAACACTTCTGTTCTTACCGAGTCCGTACGAGGATAGCAACCAGCAGGAATGGACTGCAATGGGACGAGTGTGCACGGAATTTGTACGTTTCATGACCACATCAAACCGAGGGTTCGAGGCCGCGGTGAGAGACCACTACACGACAGTCCTGGAAACCGCTCCGTATACACAACCTGCAATTTGCCTCGGAACGGACCCGCGCTTCAAGAGGACTATCCAAAGACGGCCAGAGTGTCTTGTACCTGGAGAAGATGCGTGTGGCCATGAGCGACATTCTCAGACTGGAAGAGTTCAAAGCAGCATCGGACCAGCTCAAGGAGAAGTGCCGGAAAGAATGTATTTCGTTCCGACCCCTGGTGGACCCCCACGCAAAGAGAGAGCTACATCTCAGGAGGAAGCAAGGACTTCTAAAACAAGGAGAGCTTTACCGTGTACAACACATCCTTATGGTGCCGCTAGAGGAGCATCTGAAAGCACGCACAAGGTGGGAAAGGAAGGGACCTTCGTGCCCGACGGGCATGTAATGTATATGACTATTGTTATGGTAATTGTTTTTTATTGTTGTGTTGTTTTGTATTAGGTTGTGCTCTTGTAGTTTTTCTTGCTCTCGGGTTCCGTTATCCAGAAGTGGAAAACACCGCTGCCAATCGATAAATGAAGCCACAAGGCAGATCTACAATGGACCAATCACAGCAGCCCAGCAGCCCCGCCCCTTTTGGCGCCTACATAAAGCCGGCGATCTGTTAATACATGTTATTGTTGTCTTTGCAGTGGCCAGGTGGGGTGACAACTTGATAAAGACTGGTTGGCCGCGTCGAGTACGCCTCGCATACCACGGTGAAGGGGACCGAGGATCCTACCATGCAACTGAGTCGATTATCGCTCAAAGGAAGACCGTACAGCGGAGCGACTGAATAGCAACCCTAGTTTGACAGACCAGTAGTTGATTAAGTGGAGCAGTAGCTGCTGATATGAGAACTCACAAGGGAAGGATCCCAAGTCGAAATGGCCATTGAGATGAGACCTATACTGCTAGACGTATTTTTTGATGCTCATATCAAACCTGCATTCAAAATCTGCCAGATGATTTCCTGATCGAAGTTGTGGAGGTGGTCTCCGTAGAGCGCTCAAGAGAGCCTCAACAGGAGAAAGCACAAAAGACATGGTCGCCGGCAGTCCGGCAGTGGCGGCTTGGAGTAGAGGTAAGAGGACGATTCATAGGCGAGGGACCAATGGTCGGATTTGGTGGGCGAAGGCGTTTGTGCGTCTTGCATAACTTCTTCCTCCAGATTGTAAAAATCTTTTTATGTTAGTTTTAACGCCTTCGACAACTTTTTGAATGCTTGAGATGGATCAGTTCCTGCCAAAACCGTCTTCCACTGTCCGATGATATCAATTAGTTTTTGAAAAAGGTGGGGGTTGTGGTCAGCTTTCAAAAAAGGTAAGGGTTGCCACGTGGCAGATTCGGCAATGTATGGTATATATGAATGGATGTAACGCCGAAGAACAAGGAGTATGTTCTGCCCAGAATTGATAGTATCGCACCTCTTGGAGAACTTTGGATCCTGTTATGTCGAATGCGCCCCTAAAAGGAAGGAGCAGAAGTTGATAGATAGTTTTTCCTCAATCTTGCAGAATGCGACTTAAGAAGATTGCGAAGGAATAGCCTGCGCTGAAATTTTTTTCATTCGTTGCGCTCATTGTGAAAAACTTCTTTGTTTTAAACACTTCGTGCTAGATTGTCACATCTGCTTATAATAGATTGAAGTTATCCTGCAATGAATTTGAGATGTATAACAATAAAAATAAGTATTTGTAACGTGGTGGTTGAAGCAGATGTCAGACGGTTTAAGTAGACTGGTTCACCTCAAGCATTCAAAAAGTAGCCGAAGGCGGTAAAACTAACATAAAAAGATTTTCACAGCCTGGAGGAAGAAGTTATGCGAGATGCAAAAACGCCGTCGCCTACCAAACCCGATCCTTGGTCCCTCGCACATGAAGCGCCACGCTTACCTCTACTTCAAGCCGCCACTGCTGGACTGTTTTGCAGAAGCGGTCACACATAAGCGTGCACTTGGGTTATGAAAAGAGCACGATCACAGAACCTAATTCCACAAATGAAACGCACACGCGAGCAAATTCTCTATGTAGATTTGGGGTTAAAAATCAGGTAACTAAACAGCATCTTGTCGGGATGACTGGAACAGATTCCCTTCTTTTCGAACAGCACTGAAAATAGAATTTTCCTCACATCCGAACACTACGTTTTCGTCCTGAAAAAATTGGTCATAGCTTTGATTTTTTCGGGAGCTTTGATTGGAAATGGCTTGTGTGTCAAAGATATTAACGATCAAAATGGTGTCTCAAGTGTTTACACATCCAGCAGATCCCAACCACAGTTTGATGTGGATTGTTTTGAGCTCTCACCGCCTTACCACCATCGTCTTCTGATTCGGTGGCGTCTGGCCCGCTTGTAAGTAGAGTTCGCTTTTCTTATATGTTGACGCCACTTCTGATTAAACGCCTGATCTGGGTGGGTGTTAATCGTTTTCAGGTCTTGGTGCAACGTATCGAGCTGCTTTGGGGGTCCTCTAGGCCGCCCCCCAACACAGTTGAGGTTGATCAAGGTCAGGTTGGTCAAGGTTGAGGCCGATCCAACGGACACTGTCATCATTCGCGCGAAGAAAATGATCATACTATCGGAGACGGGCTTAGCGAATTTTATGGACAATGGGCACTACACTAAATCGCTCCCTGATGACCTCATTACCTATGCAGTCTATTCATGTTGCTCCCGCTGTCCAATCCAGCATCTTGGTCTCCATTACACTGAGACCAGCCTGAACTTCATTGGTCGCACGCCCGCACTCACCAGGGAAGGGTTTCAACTTCCTATGGAAGTTTGAATAGAGACCTAAGTAAATCGATAGGGCTGAGGGAGTTATTAACAAATGTTTACATTGAAATTGCCAAATAGGTCTAACAAAAAAGTTGTGAGCATTCGAAGTCTGCATGTTGAAGCCTGGAGATATAGTGCCATATGATAAGCGCAGTTGCCTCCAACGACCGCAAGGGTCACCGTGGCCTAGTGGTAGTACTCTCTCTCCAGGTGAGCGACGAGGGTTTGCTCCCCGTTGTTGTTTCCGCTTTTGCAAAACGTGCTTTCGTCCGAATGAACGTTCTTAATTCGTTTTTCTTACTAACTTAAGCTAAGGCTTTGTTGATCATTTGCCATCACCTA